CCGCTGGTTTTAGCCGTATTTCCACAAAAGTGGAACTCAAAGGCCGTTCTCCATGAAACTCAAGTCGCAGGTCTCGTGGAACTGATCAATCACGTTGGTCGATTGGCTGATTTGACTCTGCAATTGGTCAATTCCACGAGATCAACGACTTGCGTTTAATGTAGAACGGCCTTTGAGTTCCACTTTTGTGGAAATACGGCTAAAACCAGCGGCTGAAACCGTCGTAAAAAATTACAATAGGATGGCCGCTCTCAGGTTTCTCTCTGGTTTTACACATAGACGTATAATATAAGGCAATTTTTGGCGATCATATGGTACATATACCAAAGTGTACCAAACTATAGTTCGAGTGACTTCAAATTATAGTTTGGTACACTTTGGTATATGTACCATACGATCGCCAAAAATCGCCTATATAGGCTGCGGTCCGTTTCATGCTTAAGCGCACATGTATCTATAGTATACGTGACATATACTACAGATAAATGCGCGATTAAGCATGAAACGGACCGCAGCCATAGACTGCGCGTTTGGCTGAAAAGATGTTTTCAACGTTGAGAGAGACAACATACTTTGAATAGTAACTCTTTCTCTGTCTATCATTTCTTCCACTACTTCGCTAGACAAAGATGAGGCTACTATTCAACACCAGCTGTCTCTCTCTCAACGTTGAAGACATTTTCTTAACATGGCAAAGGTAGGGAACGCGCAGTCTATATATTATACGTCTATGGTTTTACACGTGGTTACGGATTAGACATTTGTATGATTCTAACATTTTTTCTTTTACCTTATTAAAAGTATTACATGTGTGAGTTATATAGGTTCATGATATTTGTATAACTAGGTTTTCCACTTTCATATTTTACAGTAATTTATAAACATTATGTCAGAAAATACTACTGCAGAGAACATTTCGTTCCAAGGTGACTAGTTTTAATTGCAAAATTATTTTTTGTAGTTGCGTCTTATTGCATTGTATAATGCATTCCGATATTCACTGCAAGTATATAATCACATGTGTTATAGATTTTCAAATATATTATAAAGTTTCAGTACTAACAGTGATTATCGAAACTTAGTCATAGTTATGTCTAGCCTTTTTTGCAATTTTAATAACAAATAGTAATGACAATATTCTTATATTAAATGTTGCAGAAAATGAAAATATTGATGATAGTGAGCTGCAGTCTAAATTATATGCAAACATTTATTACGAATCACACAATGCTGAAGCTACTACTGCTACTACAAAGATTCTAAAGGCAATTCATTTTGATAATATGACTAACAAATTAAGCAGTGAACAAGAGAATACGCAAGCTAACACCGATACCAATCAGCTTTTAGAATCTGCAAGTACAATTAGATTGACTGATCAAGAAACAAGTTCTGTCATTCAAGACCATGTCAACACTGACAATGATAGGTACTCGGGAAAGTTTTCGACAACAGAGAGAAAGGAAAATAATAAAAATTTTTCTCAGAAGCATAAATCTTCAAATAATATAACAGATAAGGATTCAGATATTTTAGAAATATATTCTAAATATAATGTCCTTCAAAAACAAGAAAAGAAGAAGTTAGTCAAGAAGGCAGACAAAGAAACATCAGATGGTTCTGAGTCTGACAATTCTATTTTTGAAGTACCAATACCACCTAAACCAAAACCTCCTCTTATAAACTTACAAGATTCGGATGAAGAAGATAATGTAAATGCAAGAATGAGTGAAAATGATACAACAAAATCTAATAAAACTGCTAAAATAACATGCATACCAGAAGATATTGCTCTGAATTGCAGCTTAGTTCACAGTCCAACTCAAAGAGGTGCTTCAAGCTTGAATGAAATCAGACAGTTATCCAGAAGTGCTGAACAAAATCAAGAAGAATTATCTAAAACTAAAAATCAAAGCACTAATAAAAACCTATCACATAATAAAACAACCAAAAATAACATCAATCGCCGGCTTACACTAGAAGGAAACTCGCCAATAACAAAACAACCAAATACTGACAAAAATATTAGTGAGTGTAATGTGAATAATTTTAAACCTTTAGACCAAGACCAATTACATAATATATCTATCGAGGTGTCATGCACTAACAGTAATCCAAATCGAAAGAGACAATTTACCAACAAACTTGACGAAAGTTCCAAAGAGAAGCGACAATGTAGTAGTCAACATACATCACAAGACAATGGCAGCAAAGTACGAAGAAAAGAGTCATGGAATGACTATATCTTCAAACCGATGACAGATGAAATGAAGGCTTACTACAATTCTACCCAGATTCATGAAGACTTTGATGTTGTTCAGTTGCAGCATAACATGTCAAATGATCCACGAAAATGGGGAATCTTGGATGAAGATTTAATGCCAAGACCTTCAAGTAATAAACAGCATGTCAGATTTTGGAATGTAAAGTGCGGTAATTGTCGCCAAAACGGTCATCAACGGTACGATTGTTCGGCGCCACGTAAAGCCATAAATTGTTACATATGTGGCGAGAAAGGCCACAATGAGTCTCGATGTCCGAAGAAAAGTTGTCTTACATGCGGTAAGAAACAGAACACGTTTTGTCAAACTTGTGAAAATTGTCGTGTCTTGTACTGTACTATGTGTAATTCGACAGGACATCAACGAAAATATTGTCCAGATCTGTGGCGACGATATCATCAAATAACTACTATGGACAGTCTGCCACAGAATCCTGGAAATGTGATGAAACCAAGGAGTCAATTGCATTGCTGCAACTGCGCCAAGTACGGTCACGAATCATCTACATGCAAAGAATATCGATGGTCTCAGCATTTTCCTACTCCTGCGGCCGTTACCAGTTACACATGTGGACCAAGATATAGACCGGATGACATGAGTGTCTCTAGTCTTGGACAATTTACTCAGGAAGCAAATGTGTTCTTATCTACTGAAATGAGAAACGGATTGATTCCACATAGTTCGTTGAATGTACAAGAAACAACACAATATTCAGAATTTTCTGCTAATGCGTGTTTATTGCCAGTGTCTGAAAGCAAAGTGACATTACACAGACGAGAAGCTATGTCTCTTCCAGAAGGAGAAAGAACTATAGCAACTTCTTCTACAATATGTAACAAAAATAAAACAAAAGAAATAGATTTTTATCACGTTATGTATCATTACAGTAAATTACGTAATAAGAATAATGAAAAAATGCAGATAATGTTGAAGAATTTATCTGACCTTATCAGAACAGCAGAAGCTTCAATTTATGTGAAAGAAACTATTAGTAGTTTGGCAAAAGGCGAAGTTACTCCAGATTTTTTCAAAGCATTGACTGATAAAGAAATAGAATTGGAAGTGACAATAGGCTTCAAAACTCCAGAAAATAATAATCTAACATTACAGATAATAGCATTACAAAAGAATCTAAAAGAGATATATAAGTTGTTCCTTTATTGGATTGAACTTCCAAACGATGAGAAGGATTATGGGATAGATGTATCTCTACCTACAAATCTTACGAAGATGTATAACTTGTTAGACGGTAGAAGGCAGCAGCTCGAGAAACAGAAGTTCAAATCTTATAAGGAATTTGTAGAAACACGTTCACAAAATCTTCTTCATCTCATAAAATACGAAAAAAAGCAATTAACACAGCACAATAGAACTAAAAAGGAATATCGTCGCTTACGCACGAAGTTATGGCGTTTACAAATCAAACTTCTTATGATTGTTAATACCGAGCCTAAAGCAAATAACTATGTACATCAATATTATGTGACACTACATAAGCTCAAAAAGTCGAAAAAAGTATTCGATGTACTCGACAACGTTGCATTTTTAAGAATTATTTTGCTTTATAATAATTTATTCGTACCTCACACTCCCATCAATGCAGAACAGACAATAAATTGCATTATGAAAAAAGCACAGCAAATAAACAAAATGAATGAACAAGTAGCAATGAATACGTTACAAGCACAGCAAGAAATCTGTAACCACACAATACAACCATTTTACACTGATGTAAATCTTCCATCGGAGCCTTCTACATTTCATATGCCACAAGATAATTTCATTGAAAGTTCTTCCATGATCAACATTCAACAAACTGCGCCTACTGATGTATCATTTAGAGATGATGTAAACATTTTGCCTAACACCAACGATTCAACAAATCACACTTGTGATGATGAGGTAATAATAACATATGTAAGTGATCAGATTGAAAACATACAACCTACAGCACCTACCAATATTGAAAAGAAACAGAAAAAGAAACAAAAAATTGAATTAAAAATATCAGATTCAGTGAAAATATTAAATTTAATAAACCAAGCTCGTGCGTTTAACTTACCTTATATGTTACAAGCAGCTGATAAATTAGAAAAAAGTAAAAACAATGGAATGCTCAGAAAGAAACATGTCAACACACTAACTAAATTGATTGAACTAGAAAAAAAACACCGGAAGAATGTCAACTCTTATTGTAAATCCTTAGGAAAATAGTTTATTATAAAAGATAAAGAGCTCAATCTCTCAGTGATATTATGATATCATAACTACAAGTTGAGACATGTAAAATATTTGTATATGTTTTTGTGTTATCATAATAAAAAAACTGATCTTGATTTTTTATTATTCACATTATTCTTCACATTTTCTTTTTATTACTTATGTATGTATATATATACAGTTATGTTAATTATCTATACTAATAATATTGATACTATAAAACTTTAAGATATAGAAGCTTATATAGGAATGTATAATTTTATAGTAATTCATCAAACATTAATTATCTTGATACTTTTATAAATTAAAAAAAATGACATTTATATTTATTCATACTCAAATGTTTTGAAATATATGATTTATATTACAGTAGCAAATTGGGTACTGGGATTTTTATACCACAATATAAATCTGTACATAAACCAATCAATATGTGTACATGTATTTAATATATATATATATACATAAATATATATATTCAACACAATACACAAGAATCAAAAGTTTGAATGTTACTTCTTCATTGGTGGTGGACCTACCATAGGTGGAGGTCCATTCATTGGTGGTCTCATATGTCCCATTGGGCCTATTGGTCCCATCATAGGACCCATAGGTCCCATAGGTCCCATCATAGGTGGTCTCATACCCATCATAGGAGGTGGCATAGGTCCATGAGGACCCATCATCATCGGCCCTCCAGGTCCCATAGGTCCAGTTGGATGCATATTCGGTGGTGGCATCATTCCTGGATGTCCCTGTGGTGGTACACCAGATCTTGATCCAAGGCCAGAACCGAGATTCGGCGGTGGTGGTATCGCCGCACCTTTGTTAGCCGCGAAGGGATTGGAAGCAATCTTGCCAGCTTTGAAGGCAGCTGTCGTTGCATCGATGAGATGCTGGGCCTGCTCCTCCATCCATTTTTGATAAAAATATTTCACGTTATCCTTGTGCTTTCGACCTTGACAATGAGTCTTTCGCACACTCGGTGAATCATGTGTCAAATAAGTATCGCAGTAATCGCAATAATATTTCGGCATTGTCTCTGTTAAAAGTTTGCTGCAAAAGTTAATACCTCTACTTAATGTTAAAGAGCAGTTTTCTAAACTTTTTCGAATACTCTGCTCAATAGCAACTCAGAGAGAGCAAATGACAGTTTAGGTTTAGGTTAGACCACGGTGTAAGATACTAGGTTAGACTAAATTATGTTCCAAAACATATATGTAAAGAGCCGTCTACAATGGAGAGTTGTAGGCCGTAATAGTAAGAAATTGACCAATCACAGACAAAGTACAAAAGAATAATCGATTGTGATTTGTCAATTTCTTACTGTTACGGCCTACAACTCTCCATTGTAGACGGCTCTTAATAACGCTTGACTATGGCTGCGGTCCGTTTCATGCTTAACCTTTTCGCTCCGGGACTGGTCCATATATGGACCAGCAAGAAAAGCGAACGGAATAGATGTTTATAAGGTCAATTTAATGCACTAAATTTAGGAAAAAAATTGAAAAAAATCCTGGTTACTTCTTTGACCTTCAAAATTAACTTTGAAGGGGGGGTAACAGGTTATTATTAACTTTTTCAGCTAAAATGCGAGGTCAATTTTAAAGGAAAAATCCCCGGAGCGAAAAGGTTAAGCGCACATTTATCTATAGTATACGTGACATATACTACAGATAAATGCGCGATTAAGCATGAAACGGACCGCAGCCTATCTATGCCCATATTTAGACTTCATGCGTCTCTCTTTCTCGGGCCTCGTGCCTCTCATTGCGAANATACGCGACTAGCCACGGCTGAATTCTATTTAATAAGTTTGTTTTTCTTGGTTACACGTAAAGTGTACACTTTACACTTTTAATACAATGAGTGCGTTCAGACAACTCGACAGTTGCACAACAGTTGAGAGATAATCACTTCTGATTGGATCATACTTTTGGAACATCAGATTTTGAAGAATAGTCCTATCATAAGTGATAATCTCTCAACCATTGAGTTGTCTGAACGCACCCAATGGCTACAAAATTTATATATGTACAATAAGGGTACTGTGGAATGCGGGTTTCATTGGTTGATTTTGACGAGAAGGAGAGTTCATCCAATCATTGCTTATATACTTATGTACATGCGCGACGATGCATGCGCAGATAGCAATTCAGCAGTTCAGCATAGTGAAGGTTATATGGCGGTTGACGGCATAAAGCACACATTAAAAGAAACCAATATGCCAAAATATTGTTGTGTTTTTGGCTGCCGAAATAAGGCAGACAAAGAAAAAAACCTTACAACTCAATCAGCTGTCAAACACATATATGTAATACTCCTATATTGCTCGCTTTGTATACTTCCCATGAGCGGTTTGTCCGCCGATAAAGTGAGACAGATGATAGATGTATTGACCGTTCTGCGCATGCGCTAGATTCTGAGGTAGAA